GAAATAGTGAATTTGTTTGCTTTTTGTCAGAATCAGGAGACTAGAGCATCTAAGTTTCGTCGTGGTCACATGTAGGTGCATTTAAAAATCTTTCAGTGGTTTTGTCGCCATGAATGCCTATATAAAGAATTTATTCTTTTGAGCTTTCGGATGTGCTATGAGTTCTGTGTGCTCACAATTCACGTTGAAAGTGTCTGCAACATCATGTACATATCTGTGTTCTAGCAACAAAGGTGGATATCCATGAAGGCTTCTTCTGCACTCAGTTACTTTTCATTTTTAATACTGGTGTTGCCCAGAGCTGTCCTAAGCCCTCTGCATCCGTTTCATATGGATCCTCTGTTATTTGTTCAATTAGAAAAAGCAAATATATCACTCTGGCTGAATAAAACAAGTGAGACATTTCTTGTCCAAACACTACCACCCCACTGTAACGTGACATGCTGAACAATGCTCTGTTATAACGCATGACATTTTAGTAATACCTGGAAATTGAAAGAGATTCCTAAGCAACAAGGCAAAATATGATCTCTAGGCTCATAGCTGAAGCATTACCGTATTGATTAGTATTAAGTGATGATTGTTTGGTTTAGTTATATACACGGTACTAACTTGTGTTTTTTTTTTTGCTACACAGGTCTTTTAAAGACTCATTGCACCCAGGAAACATTTACCTTATTAGGCTGTGTGTGACTGTGGAGAGGTTTCAGGTTTAAAGGGTACACATACCAATGAGCCAGTGCACAAATGTTGATTGTGTGCTGAAAAAGCCAATCCCATCAGTGATACGGGAAATTAGTGAGAGTGATTGGCATTGCATTTCTGATGGCCTCAGGTAAAATACAACCCAAGTTTTTCAAATAAAGTTATACGCTTGATATTTAGATTAAATTAGATGATGAGTAGTTGGTGGATGAGTATTAGCATGAGAAAGATCACATATGTCATTTAATATAACATTTAATTACAATTGACCAGTTACACCTATTTAAATTGTATGGCATCTATTACCACGTCTTTCCCTCCTACCTACCTAAGCTTATAGAGTTTAATACCTCAGTCTTTTCCATGTTCTGTTTTCACTCCTTCTCTAGTGTATTTGAACAATTTTGAGCGACAATGCATCTGCCCCTACAGCCATGTGGCACTTAATATTGGAGACCCACCCTCGGACAGTCCCTTCTCTTTCCCTGTTACTGGGGGACATGTAACTGGACACTTTCGAGTCTAATAAAATGATCTGCGTTGTAACCGCTCGTTGTCACATGACTACATTCAAGACACTATTCCACGATGCATGTTGACTCCTCTGATCAACGTCAGTGCGACGGAATGGCAAATGGATTGCGAAAGACGTAATCAATAACAGCGAGGATGCATAAGAAAACATATCCAAAAGCGCTAAATGGTCTTTGAAAACAAATGAACAAACAGCTTATTCACCCTATTCAGGAAACCTAACATGCTGAAATAACGAAACCGAATCAATGAGAGGTACATGCTTGAGTATAGTACTGTGCTGCCTTCAGATACGGTACAGCAGATGCACATTTGAATCGCCGGCGCTGGTCAAGCGCTGCCCTCCTTAGTCCATTCTCACACAGAAAAGCCCCCCGTACTGCATAACCACGACCTTGATCGGAAGCGACACCGCCACCACATCGCCCTGAAGTTCTGGTTACCTGAAGCACCACAGTCCACACAGCTGCCGTTGCCGGGTCTCTGCAGCAGCTCCAGCAAAGCGACTTTGTTCTTCTCCTGCTCCTTGGCCATGGTAGTTTATGGATCGCGTTGCACTTGTTCAAGGGGGCTTTGGGTGTTTCAAGCCGCCACTTTTGGTTCAGCTGATCTTTTCCCTCGGGTCAAAAATATACATTTAAATAACAAAGGTCTCCCTTGTTAATCTAACGTCCGGAGTTGCTAGCTTCAATTCATCCTCCTCGGGGTCCCGGCTTGTGGACCGCACGCAGCACGCTGGTGCAGAACTCCCGGCTGACCGGTCTCACCTCGCCTCTGCTTCAGACAGCACTAGAGCCCACTGACAGCACGAACTGAATGAATGTGCACCTTTTCCGTGTTCCAGCCTTCAGAGAAAGTGAGACCTCCAGCGGTCACACTAGCGCTTTCGTTTTTCAGATGTCCGTCAGAAATGGAGCTGCGCAAATTGCGTCCGCTCCAAGCGTCTCGTTATCAATAAAAAGACCAAAACCTGACATAGGGCTACGAGGAGAAGTGGGATGTGTACTAGGCTGGGATCGTTCTCAACATCTGATAAAGGTTTAATTCTTTAGCGGTATCTACAGCACTGGTTCCCAGTTACTGGTCCTTCTGTTTTTCTAGCTCAGTTTTTACTCACAGGCTCGTTGATTTCAGTTTTCTATTTGGGGTATACAGTACTCGTGAATTTGCTTTCAGCTCTTAAAGGATGAAAGGGGATTTGTAACTGGTCTCAGCTCTCCACCCATTTCTGAGTTTCAGAATGGTTCTCAGAATGGCTGCCTACAGTGGAATCGATTGGATGCCTGCAGGAGGAAAAAGCCTCACTGAAGCTGAACAGGTGTGAGCCTGGCCAGTACCTGGATGGGAGACCTCCTGGGACAGCTAGTGTTGTTTCTGGAAGAGGTGTTAGAGGGGCCAGTAGGGGGCGCTCACCCTTCAGTCTGTGATTTCCACATGTTGACATTGTTGTAAACGGTGCTCTTGAAGTCAGGTCTTTGGGATGTTAAGGACTGACCAAAGGAATAAATAAAAGTCTAAACAAGCAAGCAGATGAATTAAGTCATCGATTAGCACTGGAGATGGAGACCTTGATTAGAATGAAGGTTCCTCTAGGACCAGGGCTGGAAAACACCACCCTACAGAAAACCTGAACTTTTAATGCATATCAAAGAGCAAGATGCAGATTTAACCCTTTGCGCTGCACTGTCGTGACATTAAAAATATCTGTTTGTCTAGAGAATGAAAGTAACTGTACAATTTATGTTCCACAGACACATACTGTAGTAGCGGCTTTTCTGCAGCTAACAGGAAAGAAACACAATGCTCATCTTGTTTTTGTTAAATAGAATATTTCCCACAGTAAGCACTCTGCATTCTTCTTAGATTCTCATTCACAGCATTTCAGCTATATTGCTTAAGAGCTAGCAAAAAAATTAATCAAACAAGACAGAGTAAAATAGGTTCACAATGTAAATGAATCCACTCCTTTTTTAATCACCTTGAATTTGTGTGGGTCTCTTTAACCGGATCTATTGATCTTGTAGTATGACCCATAAGTGACTTAATTCAATGCTGATCGATCCACAATTTCAGTATGTATCGTTTCACTCCATATAGACGATATGTTTGATTAGAGATGTTAATGTCAAAGACCATTCATCCCCTGCGACCTGAAATTAGAAGAGGTAAGAACATAGATAACAGCTGATATGTTGTATGTTATTAAGCTTCTCTATGGCTTTATAATATCTCTCATCTCTTCTGATTCCTCACCTTTATTGTTGCAAACCTTACTGAGAATTTCAGAATTACCAGAACCTTTGCTCTAGTATGACAAGCAGAGACCCTTTGCTGTGGATGAAACATTAAACTGAGGTCCGGACTATTTAGACATTAAAGTTTCCATGTCCAGGCATATTGCAGTCTGAGCTTGATCCAGAATTCCTCCTCAAATCAATTGCTGAAATAATTCTCCCATCTGTGCATGACCTGTTTTGCAGTAGGGCTGCTGGTTTACAATGGCTGCAGCACTTCAGTAATGGATGGAGTGTGTCCTCTCCTATATGTGAAATGCTTTGCAGCCTCGTGGGATGAAAAGCAATGTACAAATGCAGGCAATTATCCACCCCTCCGTTTTCAACCACTTCATCCAATTCAAAGTTGCGGGGGAGCCTGAGTCTATCCTGGCAAGTAGCAATTATTTGTAGCTAAATGCGGTAGTACAACAAGAATTGCTCATTTATAGACACAAATCAGAGATGTACTTTTTAAAGCGACTGTCAATAACAAGATCTTCTGGAGTTTTCATAAAACAGGCCTGTGTTATATTCTTTATGCACTCGTTTATACTAGGACATACAGTAGTAGAGCTGTAATGTTGTATCAATACATATTCAGGAAATGGTCAGTCAAGATATTTTGCTGAATCTACATCAGAAACTAGCCTCGTTGTACATTTCCAAACCAACTCATTTCCACCAGTCCATTTCAGTTTGAAGCTCAACTTTTATACAAAGAGTGCTTTTCACTGATATCAGTTATTCAAGTCAGTACTGAGATGTGTAGCAGTCTGTGCTGGGATCAGTGTTTGCATATGATCTGCCTACCCTCCAGTGTTGTGACCATGAATGTAGTACAGTATCCACACAATGTTAAGAGTAAGTAAATGAACATCCCCTTGGTACTTACTGATGCTGAAACTCCTCTGTAACACTTCAAGGTCACAGGGGAATTACACATTCACTATCAGTTTTACTTTTAAAAATACGAAATCAACTTACATTGAACAATTGTGACCAAACGTTACTCATGATGTATAGATACTACCTGCAATGCATATATACTATACCTGATTCTTCATATAATGATCATTAATTCATCTATTACATTGTCCAAGGCATCATACATAACAAAGTAATCTATGAACAATACAAAACATATAGTGGGACGATTAGGATATACCGTAAACAAGCTGAGATAATCTTTTTTGATTTCATAGTTGTGAGAAAAATGAAAAATAGTGGTGAATAAGTTCAGACTACTGTAGTAAACAGCATTTTGAAAGAGAACGTAGTTGTTGTTAAACTAGGTTTTAAAATCCAGCTACTAGATTATATTCCAGATCAGGGCTACTGAACCTATATCTTGATATAAGCAGGAAAGTTTAAACACTCTGTTGTAATATAAAACACAGTATACCACTTAATACAATACAATTTAAAAACGCAATAGGAACATCAATACTAATCAGCCTGAACTATAGTTAAGGCAGTTGCACTGCACTACAAGAATATAGTTATGGCTCTAAAAGTATTTCAGAGATCTGAAGTCTCTGTTGCAGTCTGTAGATCGTTTGTGACCAATTTCCTTGTTTACCCATTATCACGGCACAATCATATAGAACAAAGACTTGTGTAACCCTGGAGGTCCAGTAATGGCCATTTTTACATTTTAAAATAAAACCCACATTGAAAGTGCTAAATTCTTCTTGGTTTGCTTCCTAAATGTAGTGCTGCAGTTGCAATTAAATAATGCATCATACCCCTATGAACAAAGCACAACAAAAAAAGAAAAAGACGAATATGGCACTTTTCTTTGTGCTTCAACCAATTCAGGGTCGCAGGGGAGCCTATCCCAGCATACAACGGGCGGAAGGCAGGATTTTGTTTCAGAAGACGCACGCTGTCTTTATCAGCTCCTGTGCAGGGTGGGGTGATAGGACGTCAGTACATCACAGGGGTGGACACAGACGCACACACTCACTCCTTGGTCCAATTTTGCCAGAATCCATTTAACCTACTGGTGTGTTTTTGGCCTGTGGGAGGATTCTGGAGCACACAGACTCCACACTCCACTCCATTCCCTGGTAGAGAATTGAACTAATGGCCTCAGCCCTGCAAGGCAGCACTACTAAGCACTGTGTCACTGTACCATCCCCCTTGTGCCTCCCTTCGGTCGTTCACAGAAAGAGGAGAAAGAGGGGACTAAAAATGACAACACGGAAACTAGGATTCTTCCTAAAAATGAAAGCACCGGGGGTGACTGGGTTCCAGGTATCTGGTGTTCCCTGCGTTTGCTTCAGGATAGCGAGCCCTGTGACATACTCTGTACTCAGGATCAGTGACCGTGCGGTGTAACCAGTGTTTCGTCCTTCCTCAATGCTCCCTCAACTGCTGATGTGAGCTCGCAGTCCAAAAAGGAGAAGTGGATGAGCTGACAATCTTTGTTTCAGAAGACACGCGCTGTCTTTATCAGCTCCCGTGCTGGGTGGGGTGAGGGCTGGCTGAGAATTGTGAATTCCAAACTTAGACAACCAAACCAAACCAAACCAAACCAAACCACCAGACAGTCAAAATAGAGGTGATTCTGTTTTCTTTTAAAAAGCATGACTTTGTATGTACTGAAAGTGTAGTTACCCACTCCACAACCTACATGTTGTGTGCTTTTGTTTTGAGCTTTAAAAGACCAGTTGAAGGAGGATTTAAAACCACAATACCACATTCTTGCAGTTTGCACCTTAGGTGTGATACCAACAGGACTTACTCGGATTTGTCAAGTGCACTTTGCAAACAAGATGCCCTAATATCTGCTCTGTAGGGAAGCTGAACTGCCTCTGTTGAATAATTTACATACCTTCCCTCTCTCCCTCACAAAGGGAAAGTCTTTGTGTCCCAAATCCATCCATTTTCTAACACCATTAGAAAATCTTTCACTTCAGGGTGGTGGGAGAAATGGAGCCTATCCCAGCAAGCAATGTGCATAAGGCAGGATACATCCTGAATGGGACGCCAGTCCATCGCATGGCACACACAGACATAAACACACACACTGTACACCATGGCCTATTTTCCTAGAAGCCAGATAGCCTACCGGTATGTCTTTGAGCTGTGAGAGAAAGCCGGAACATCCAGAGGAGACACATGCAAACGTGGGGAGTCCACACAGACAGCACCCCAGGTCCAGAATTGAACCCAGGGCCCAGGCACAGCAAGGCAGTAATGTAACCACAGTGCCACCATGCTACCCTGTTTCCTAAACCTTTCCCAATTTGTTCTTCTAAAACTAGGCTGCTACAAACTAAAATGTTTCTTATACACTAGAGACTTTGTTTTGGTACTGCTAACTGCAGTAGCAGGCTACCTTCCACAATTTCCACACAACTAGAATGGAAACAAGATTCCAGCATCTCCCTTTTGGTACTCAACCCAGCAATGCCTTCACTGCCATCCTGATTCAACAAATATCCACACGAAAGAAAACATCTGGAACAGTGTCTAATGCAAAAGCCCGTTGAGGCAATACCCTAATATGTAACTGGGCCGAGACGATTAAATCTAGCAGAATATTGTATAAAACCTCATGCAATGTTACTTACAAAATACAGAAATGAAAACTTAAGAGTTTTAGAATGTTGTATGTAGCCTGTTAAGAATCTGTTAGTTAAGGATATGATGAATTTTCACAAGGATTAGGGGTTTTGCAGATACTTTGTACTGATTAATTTATCGACTTTCACCTCTCCGCTTCTCGACATAATGCAATCCTGCTGTCTCTTTCGCTGGCTGCGTCTCCCTGTCTTGATTGCCTGGACTCCAAAGAGCCGATTAATAATAAAAAATAAGTAACAGCACAGTACACAACATCATTGAATTATTTCAATTAGGCTTTATCGACTTCCCGTCTCTAGCTTTTAAATATTGATGCTCTGTGCATTATTGAGGAAGTTTTTTTTTAACTAAATGTGACTTGATATACTGTAATTGCAGTACATATATCTACAAATGTATATTGACCTACACCCCCAACACAAAACTAGAAGACGTGACGGAGTCACGCAGATATTAAGATATCTACAGCTACGTAATGAAACTTCTGACAGATTTTAAAAAGCTCCATATTGTTCGAAGAATTTATTAGGCACGTCTTTATAGTTATCTGCTACTTTTTCGTAGTATATTGTAATCAAAGCAGTACACCTTAATTGCTCGAGTAAGCTGCAGATAAACACAGGATAACCTCGCTTAAACCTAGGTCACTTTCTCTGAAGGGAGGCTGCAGTAAAGTACAATCGCGATTGACTCAGGTATACACAAAAACACTGGTGCACATGTAAGCACTGGCCCTTTAATGCTTAATGGATTGTCGAGCAAGTGATCGAGCAATCGAAAATCTACTACAAAGGCCTGGAAGAAGAGGTCATGGCGGTACATCCGGTGTAAGCAGTTTTCCTCTTTCAGGTATCAGAAGTGGAAATTAACCAGCTGTGGCAATGTCGACTGCAATGAATTTTGGGACAAAATCTTTCAAGCCCCGTCCCCCGGACAAAGGGTCTTTTCCTTTAGATCACTTTGGTGAGTTACATCGTGGATGCACATTTTTTTTTGTAAATCAAAATCGGTTTGAGACAACCCTCTCCCCCTTTTGCACATGTTAAGAAGTTGTTTTCTTTATCCATGCATGTCCTGCATCAGCAGTGCAGAGCTTCTGACAGAACTGAGAAGCGCACTTTTAAATAGTAACGAATGTAGATGTGCAGATACTGGTCGTTGAAATGACGACCTTCTCAAATATGGGAGCAGTGTGTCCTTTCTCCAAAGAAACGTTCTCTGACGTTAAGTCAGCGTTTCTCCACGGTATAATAATAGATATTCTGATTAATTTCCATGGAAGTGCAAAACTTTAATAACCTGGTTCAGTACATGCAACACAGCACCCAATGTCTAGCAAATTCAATTTCATTGTTACATGTACCCAGGTGCAATGAAAGGATTCTTTGCGTGTTTTCCTCACACGACAAATGACATAAATAACATCACAGTTCTTGGATACGGGAACAGGGTAGAAGCTATACTTTAAACCAGCATTTAGATAGCAGATGGGTGCAAAATGCTTCATTGACAGTAGTTGCAGCCATACATCTAGTTTACTCCGTTTGGTAGGGATTAGAGACCGTGTATTAATATTAAAACCTTCTTTGGGCCGTGGGATCCTGTTTCAAAACCTCATATTACAGGTACTGCTCATTACAATTTTTTACAAACCAAGCTTTTGCAGGGATACACTGCACTTGTTAATAGAATAAGGTAGGCCAGCCAGTTTGCTTTTAATTTCATGTGCATTAAAAATGGGTTATTTTAATACACACACAGAAGTCCCTTGCTACTGCAATGAAATACTTTGGTAATTGTCAATTTAAAAAAAAACAAGTTTGCATTTATTTCACGTCACAGACTATTTAAAGAATTGTGGCCCTGGGGGAGATGACCTTCTCAGCGAGCAGCCTAATACTAAACTGAATTTTGCACTCTGCTTTTTTCAGGGGAATGCAAGGATTTCAAAGAGAAGTTTATGAGTTGCCTCAGGCAAAACAACTTCGAGAGCTCACTCTGCCGGAATCAGTCAAAGGAGTATCTTGAGTGCAGAATGGAAAGGTGCGTATTGAAAAATGAAGACTGATCAAAATAAAGCCCACAAGACAAGCAGCGGGTGTTTGTTTATGAAAACACGACAACCTGGCTATCTTGACAATTGGTGCAGCTCAAGAGATAGTTCTGCAGCAGAGACTGAACAGAACAAACCTGAGCACGCACTACCCCACACTGCTGTTAGCAACTACCATTTTGACCTGACCCAAAATAAAACTAACCAGATGATACCTCACGCTAAACCTTTCTGTGCATTTAGTAAATATTAGAATCCTTGCTCAAAGATTTAATATTTTAGCAACCAATACTTTTGGTATTGGTGGAAAATAGCCCATAAGGTCTTTCTCTATAGTGAGGGTATCCTCCCTACTGCTGATGTCACTGGATAGAGGTGAAAGGTTAGCACTTAAGCATCTGGTTCTTCTCTTCCTAGGCAGCTGATGACAAAAGAGCCACTAGAGAAACTGGGATTCAAAGATATAATGGATCAAGGGAGCCAGAAGTCAAAGGATGATGTCTAGAAATAACAAGGAAGTGAAAACAACAGCACAACATCCAGCAGACATGTATATAATGTACATTTAAATTTGTGCTATAAAAATGTGAATATTGGAAATAAATATTTTGTATGTGCTTTAAATCTTATTGTACTACTTTGCATGCGTCTTCTGCATTCTAGTTTATTGGATTCTACTCTACCCCCTAGGAGCCTCTTTCAGGGATATATTTTTATATTCTGTTTATTACTTGCAACATGTATGGCCATGGATGGTACAGGCCAAGGGAAATTTGGCCAAAACATCACATGTAACACCCCTACCCTTTTCGAGAAACGCCCTGGGATTTTTAATGACCATAAAGAGTTAGGACCTTGGTGTTGCGTCTTATCTGAAGGACAGCGCCTTTTTTACAGTATAGCGTGCCCATCAGCAATCCTAGATTTCCCAGGAGGTCACCCATCGAGATACTGCACAGAGTTAACCCAATCACCTTCAAACCCATTAAAGAAACCAGCTCCAGTGGTCACAATCTGCATTCATCTGAGTTCATTTAGTCTTACATGCAAATGCAGTTATTTAGAACTATTTTCCAATTAGTGCTTAATTGGAACCCTGAAATAAATTGAAATGTATTTTTACAAGAATGCCACACATTAGAAATATGTCTTCCAAGTTTGTGCGACTGCCAATCTTTCTATACAGCACTTTTCTATACAACCCATTTCAGAAACTCAGAAATGAAACCATTGTTTCAAGTATTTTCTATCTGCACATTGTAAAACACTGTTTTTCCACGCATTTCACAATCATTACTGGTTGTAGTACTCCTTCATAATCATAACATCGCAACAATCCTCCAAAATGTCCACATTTAGCCTTCAAGTCCTCATATCTTGCACAGGAACTCTGCTCCTCTAAAGGCCAAGTGTAAATGTTGTTCACTAACTTACCACTCAGCAGGGAGAGCTCCTTCAAATCTGTAGCAAAATTCCACCTCTCCACAGTCCATAGTTATTCACAGCCTCTTCTGCTTCCTTCTCATTACAATGATAAGCCTACCATGTCATCATAAGAGCTTTCATGCTTATTAGGACGGTCTAAAGAAGTTTGCTCCTGTTACCAGACATAATTAAACCAGGAATAAGGAGGAAGCAAAGCTTTTTATGGTTGTGGGTAGCTCATATATGCAAAGATCTTTTGAATGCTTTGCAGTGGATCCCACCAAATCACACTAGTTACCGAAGGGTGAAAATTAGCTTCACTTTATTAAATTTTAGAATCACCAATTATTCTGCCTTTTAAAATCTTTCCAATTTGAAATTCACCAATCATTAATCAACATTCACAGCTAGCTATGGATAAGATTTAATGTGTCAGAACAAACTAATGGGAAATTGGAAATGTTTTATTACTTCAAACTGCTTTTTCTACCTAACCCTGGTACAGCAAAAAGGAAGATCAACAGACATGTTTTGTACATACAGCTCCTGTGGTACATTAACAATTTATGAAATGCAGAAAAATCCTGTTTTATTAACAAAATGTAGATCACATTCATTTAAGATTGACAATTTCTCAAAGCAACAGGAAATACTTTAAAAAATTCTATAACGAAAAGTCAGAAATTTAAGCTCCGTGGGGGTAAAAACATAAAAAAATGGTAACTTGCAATAACGTAGAAATATACACATCATGCAAATGGGAGGTCAATTTCAGCAGTCCTGTGGTACAAATTGCTTAGAAAAACGTGGGGAAAATAAGATCTTAAAATTCACAATTTGGAGAAGCCTAGAACCTGTCAATTAAAAAAAAAAATTGTAGGAGAACAGCGAGGGAGACCAAAATTAATAAAAGCTGACAAAGAGCAATAAAACAGGCGCTTTTGCCTCCAAGATTCTTTGAGAGTCCCAATGCCAGTTTTTTATTTGCAAATAAAAAAGGCTTTGGAATAGGAGAATGTGGAGCAGACTGGGTGGCCTAGGACTGCTCTTCGGTGTACCGATAACCCCTTTTGGGGCAAAGGAGCCTGCAGGATTCTCACTCAGCTGGTCGACGGCCCAGTGCTCCCCGGAAGGTGCCAGCGGCGGGGCGAGGGGGCGGGGGCGCCGGGGCGTGCGGTCTACCGCGAGGAGTTGGAGCTGGATCGGCTCCGGTGACGCCGGCGGCCGGGCGATCTGGACCGGGACCTGCGGCGGACCGGCGATCTGCGGCGCGGCGAGCGAGACCTGGAGAGAGTTTAAAGCCGGGTTTACATCCGTCTACACTATTCCGCCTCAACCCTAATAGAGCAGCTTAACCCTTTTCCCAGCTGATTCTGGATTCAGGATTCTGGGCCCAGCAGACCAGAGGTGCTACAGCACATAATTCATCTTTTTAGTCTTTCAGTGTTGTGCCGTCGTTCCCCATTCTAAAGTACAGAAAGGAAATCCACATCCAGGCACGAGAAACTATTTCAAAGGTCTTAAACGAGGAAATAATGCAAGACCTGTAAACAAGAGGTTTCTAATTAATAAACGTTTATCAGGAGGATTTCATATTTAAAGCCATGTTTCAGCTGGAGAGCCCATTGAGAATTCATGACTTTCAGGAAGTCCTTTGAAAAAGTAATCCTTTTATCAAAAGCTTTTTTTGCGGGGTAGGGAAAGGGAAATGCATTATCAACCCACAAAATAAAGCATGTTAAGAATCCTTCAATTTTTTCTTCTTCCATGACCTTTCTAGAAGTTGCAACTTTTTCCAAATTTCTTAATTTTTAAGCCGTAGAAATTATTCTCTTCTATGATGGAATAAAAACAAAGGTTAAAGAATGTTTGCAACTTATATGTGTACCTTAGAACTTGTGTAGTAGTGTAAAGTTTGATCACTGTGTGAGAAAAGGTACCTTCTAAATTTAGTGAAGCCTCTGTGTATGCTGAGATAAGAGAGACACCATTTTGTGGTTTTTGAGAAAATGTGACAGTTCAGAACAACTGAAAGGTGATAAAAAATTACCGTTGCATTCTGTTGTATTTATGGTGATGTTATTTCTAAATATACATGCAAGAGTCTCTCTCTTAAACATAACAGCTATGGTAACTTTTGAGGTTTTAAACTGCTTGGAAATATCTGTGTGCAGAAAAAGATACCCTTTTGTGTGTTGCAGTTATTCACTCCAAAAACGGTCTTTTGTGTAAAAGCTCGAAACCTTCACAGACATGCGCCGTGACTAACTGCACCCCTACATCAGTCACAACACAGATATGTACCATCGCGGAGGTCGGCAAAACTCAGCAGAATACTCTTTTATCGTTTTCTAATCCACCCAGCTCTCTCCACACAGTGGTTTCCTTACTCGGTCCTTGCGTCCAGTTTTTTGGGGGAAGAACTGACAACAGTAACAACGCTGAGCTACACAATCCCTAATCCCATCAAGCACATCTCCTGGTGATGAACTTGGGATGCAGAGGAAAAGCAGGCGAGGGGCTGGCACTGACCTCCTCCTCATGCGGGGCGGAGTGCGGCGCCACACAGGGGGCGGGGGCGGCATCCGGCGAGGGGGGGTCATCCTGCGAGGAGCTGGCCGCAGGCGGGGGGCCAGCACCGCAGTCGCCGTGATCTCCTGGCCATCAATCTGACCTGCAGACAGACGGGCAACGTCAATCTAAGGCTCAAGAGCACTGCAGGGTCCGGGGGAAGGATGCGAGGCTATTTCAAGAGCTAACCATTCCAATGAGACAGTAATTGGATCTCGCTTTCCAGAAACCGCCACCCATCAGATATTCAGTTCTTGTCTGAACACTTTGGCTGGGGCAACGGACACAAGTTATTCACCAGAAACGCAAGGCTTGCTTACCTCCATCCATGTGTCTGAGGGCCTTTTCTGCTTCATCTGCACTCTCAAACTCCACGTAGGCGTAGCCCTTGGAGAGGTGTGGGTGCAGCCTGTCCACAGGCATGTCTATCATCTTGATCTTCCCATAGGTGGAGAAAATCTCCATAATGTGATCCTGCAGCAGAAAGGTTTTTTTCAGGGCCGTATCGCTAGATAAAACACTCCTGAGCTTACAGGCTGATCCCTGATCCCTGAAGCCCCCTACTTATAAAGCAAATTGAAGGTGTAAACTGGCATTCATTGCCATCGACAGTAAACAAAATTAAGCTTAAAATGCCATGAGCAAACAACTTGACTGCTGCTCATGCTTCAAGTCAAATGCGGGGCAAAATCCACAGTTGGCACTGTACTTTAAAATAAATTAGATTTATTTAAATCAGCAGAGTGCTAATGCTGAGGTTTTCAACCATACTTCCCTGCCTGGGATGTACATAGCTATCTTTTGCTTGCATGCTAAAGATACTCCTGTGTTTGAGTGTGCTCTGTTTTGTGCTTAGTGTCCTCTTAAGCACAAGGTCCTGCAGGAAAGACTACTATTTAATATGGCAAGTATCTATCACAAAACCCCATCACGAAGGGACTAAAGGCGAAATACTGATCTTTCAACTGTTAGTTACATGCTGATCAAGGGCAAACCTTGGTGACGTTCCTGGTGAGCCGACCAAGGTGAACCTTGGTGGGTCTGGGACTGGGACTCCTCCTCTTCCTCTCCTCTCTTTTAGGGGACTTAGACCTGGAAAGACAGGCTGTGATCACTGCTCTGGGGGGGGAGCCAAAGGCTGTACAATGAATAGCTGTATCACTGACTGGGCATCTGTTGGCATGCAATGCGTATAGAAACCAAGTAAACATTAAAAACGTTTTTGTTTCAAGTGATCTAAAAAAAAAAAATGCCAGGAAATGTCACACGCTTGATGGAGGACGCAGTTCTAGTTCCCTTTAACAAACACCTAATCAGAACACGCAGCCCATTCACATACAGGACAGACCCTCTTTCTGATTATCTGAGATTGCTTAATGGCAGAGAATCAAAAGTAACAGATCCCCTTTACACATTAAAATATTATAATGTATCTTTTAATCTCTCATTTCTTGCCACCTTAAACTGAACAACGTTTAGGATGACGAAAAAAACAGCTAACTGCTTAACGTTGTCACTAGATCGTATTAGTACAAGCACTGGTTCTTAAAACTATGTGCATACACCCCGATACTCAATTCTAAACCTGGGTGGTTTGGGCAACAGTTATTGATGTTTAGCTGGTTTCTGATCTGTGCGACAGTGTGCAGCAATTCTAGATACAGGGTATTGGTGCCATCTAGTGAACTCAAAGCACATCTGCTTCTGCCAGAATGCTCTGGGTCCATGTCACTGTCACTCTTTCCGAGCTCCTGGATAAGTGACCGGGAGACTTCTCCCTGATCAGAAAACAGGCAATCACTGAATGCAACTTAATAACAACAGATCCCTTTTTAAGCAGCGGATTGTACCAGCTATACAATATTACTATAAACACCCACTTCACAACCCCCCCCCCCACCAGAAAACTAAAACAGAAGCACAACAATGGGACTAATCAATGGACACCTAGGTTAACAGAACCCCTCAGGTGAGCGCGCTTCAGACAAGTGCGACAATCCACGCTGTGATTATATTTGAATCCCGAATCAAAACAAGGATCTACTCAATCAGCTCCTGCCTCCACGGCGCAGGTAAGGGGGGAGAGGAAAGGAGCTCGGCGCGGCTCTGAACGACACTCGTACTTGGAGCGGGAGCGCCGGCGGTTGTCGTGGCGGCGGCGGCCCGGGCTGGGCGAGCCGGAGGAGCTGCTGCTGCTCGAGCTGCGGGACGAGGAGGAGGAGCCGGAGCGGCTGGACGCCGAGGACGAGCTGGAGCCGCTGGACGAGCCCGAGCTGGACCCGGAGCTGGAGCTGGAGCTGGAGCTGGAGCGAGACCTGGGCGGAGAGCAGGGAGGAAGGGAAGAGCTCTTCAACGGGGGCGCTCCTTTACACATAGGGTGGCGGGTGCCTCAGACAAGCTAGTCAGCCTTACTTGCCTACTCCCAGACCGTTCGAGAGAAGGAAGATGGGCTTCCTGGTTTTAATTAGCAGCTGGTCATCAAAGGGGTTAAACGGACTGAATGGCCCGCTCTTTTGAGAGAGACTGCATATCGGCATGAAGGGTGAAGGAAAACAAGCCTCCAGTGCAAAGGTTACAGAACAACGGCACAGATGTATCAAAACAGCGAGGAGGCTGTGGAGGCAGAGGCCCTGATCACAGCCCCGACGCCCTGCCGCTGAGCGAGGGTGGCTAGACTCTCCCGGCGCGCCGGCGCTGGCTCACCTGCTGCTGCTGCTGCCCGTGGAGGCGCTGCGGCGCTTGCGGGCCTTCTCCCTGCCGCGGTCCTTGTCCGCCGCCTCCTTCGCTCCCACCTTCTCCTTGCCTCGGTCTTTGGCCTTGTCCTCGGAGCGGTCCTTCCTCTTCGTGGGTGACGGTGCCCTGTCAGGGAAGGGGGGGGGGGGAGCGTGATCAATATCCTTCAAGGGACGACCCAAGGGAGGAAGTCAGAACAAGCCGCCAGGCCGGGCAGATCCTCTCGGTAGTACACAGCTACCGTATGAAAGCAGCACAATGATCACTATTCCCATCCAGCGCACTGTTTTTTAACATTCGTGTTCTGCGTTCACAGAACCACTCTCACGGGCTCGCCGAGTTCAGAGGTGATCCAAATGATCCCTGTCCTGCACAGAGCTGCAAACCTATAGCCTCTTATGACATAACTCTTTCAGACTGCTGAAGATGAGGTCTCACCTGCATAAACTAGTAAAGAAATTAGTGTTTTCCCATGAGGTCTCTCAAATGACTTCTCATTTCTCTGCAATGGCTGTAAAAAATGGGAAGATGTCTGTGGCTTCATATCTCATGCTATTTCATGATTTAAAATGTTGGCTCTTCTGAGAAAATAATCCTGTTCTAGATACCTTACTGAATAACCAGATGATCATAATTATTTAAAAAAACTGTAATGCAGTTTCAAACATTCAGTCATCTGGAGGCAGCCAGATGCTACCTCTAAAAACCTTTTCCATCATGAAGAGATGTCTGTATAAATGACTAATTTAGACAGTATTATTTTACATGGCACAAAGTGTGAATATTTACTGTGTAAAAGGTCAGTGGTGTTTTGCACTCAAACTATTCACACCCTGTGTTAACTGGAAATCTTCACCGCCAGTTAGAATAAATGACTTTTCAATAAACAGAGAAGAGAAACCACTGTCAAGTTTAACAATATTACATTTCACCATCTCACACTGGGAGAGGGAGAAAGACTTGAGGGGGAGCGTTTCGATCTGGACTGTAAGGGAAGGAGGGTAAAGTTCCTGTACTGTGTTCCTAGCAGAGCATCAGTGTGCACTGTCACCTTTCAGGAACAAGTGCTCTGTCTGTAAGAGGGGTCTGCCCCAAGGATCAAGTTATCAGGCAGTGAAGAAGCTCTTCAAGGCCTGAACTTCGGAAGGCCCAAGAAACAACACAATAGGGAGCCACTGACATCTTACGTGATCCTGTATGAACACAAGAGAGCACCAGCAAGTCCAACACTCTATGAATACTTTCAGGGACATGCTTAAAAGCTTAAAGCAGGAAATAGTAGCTTAATATGCTGAACTTCAATCCCATTATTTGAATAACCTTGCAAATAAACCAAACACCTACTCATACTACCCACCCCCACCCCCCAAAAAATGGCTTTTTGTTAGTGTACAGTACGATCATTTCAGCTTTTCACACCTTGGCCTTTGTGTGGACACTCTCTCATTCCCACCTACTCAGTCCTCTGTTCTCCTGTGCCTTATATTCCAGTTAACTTCCTCTCTCACAACTGAAAATGGCTCAACAGCCAAAACATTGGTTCTTATTTCTACTTTTCAGCATGGAATAAACCGTTACTTGCTCCTTTTTTTTAGCCAAGACATGCACACTTAAACCAGCATGCTTCTCATCGAGCTAGGCCTGCCCTGCAACCCTCACTAACTGAGCCCAATCTGGAAAAGGCTCAACAGGGCAATACACACAAACAAACCTCCTTTTAAGTGGCAGCCCCACTAGTTCCAAAGACCCTTCCAAGAGGGCTTAAATGTTTAATGTGGCAAGTTTGCACATGCTAAAATCCAATGTTAAAAACCGAGCTAGAAAGGCGACACTAACTGGAGGAATATTTCAAAACATGTTCCAATACATAATGTTAAAAGCTTAAATGCTAAAAAGAATACATGCAAACAAAAACGTTAAAATGGATGGCAACACTATCGATATATAATTAAAATATGTGTACAACTATACACGGTATTGCTGTTTGGTCAGCACCTACGTATTAACCCATTTAAGGTAAGCACCGTACAGTGTCTTAACAGTTTCATATTCTTAAGTACAATTTAACAGACTGCGAGTGGCTTTAGAGAATGCTGCTCAGGGAAAATCTGTGCAAAACTCTGTTTATGGACAATTTTCCAAGAGGCACTGAAAAACTAATTCTAAGCTCTCCATGCGCAAATTTCTAGGATAACCATTTGAATGTAGCGAGTTAAACCACGGTGTGTTTTTTACATTAAGCGAAATCCACTATATATATCTTAAATGATTATTAGCCCATATTGCGTAAATGGAAAACTTACTTAAATACGCACGATTTGGGGAGGGGGGTTATTATCTCAATTACCTTTATAGAGTTTATGTATTTGTTGATCCTTGAGCACATTAAGCCACATGGAGAGAATTCTGCATTACGTGAACTGTAAAGTAGAAATTTTGTGAGGTTTAGCTGAGGTTTGTGTACACGAACTACACAAACCTCACTGTGTACGTTAAATAAAGCCGTCGACAGTATAGAGACGTGTTAGGCTTTGTGTTCGTAAAGCTTTTAGAAACTGCCCTACATTTTCATAGACGAAGTTACAATTAACGTTTTATGTTCCTAGTTTCAGTGCATTTGTGGAAACAATCCAAACCCCCCGTTGTACTCGGCAAACGAACCCACTCGTCCGCCATTGATGTTTTCATTCATCTGTTCAAAGCTCTGCTTTCAAGCAACACCCCCCCCGCTCCAAAATCAAGCACAATCCCAACACCGCGACAGGAAATATCACTTCGAGATGCATTGCTTTCGACTAAATAATTTATAAAAACAAGATTCAGTGTCCTAAAACCGCTATAACATCGAGGATTGCATTAGATGGTTTCTAAAAAAAAAAACACACACAAACTTACATCTCCGCTCAGAAAGTCTCCCTCCGCGGCGGGCGCAGATTGATGACGCAGAAGCGGCCAAACTCGTCAGACTGTATCGCCGTGGTCTGTGCCGAGAACGTAACTGAATTTCCTCCTCAAACACAGTAACACAGGCAGCCCAAGGAGGTGTTAATAAGCGGCTGGGCACAGGGGGAGTAAATTGTAGGAGCTGTTATTTGTTTGGAGAAAAAGATGGCATGTTAAGTTTCAGCCCCATCCAAAACAATTCTAAAATACCGTTTGTAATAAATTTAATTATAATGGCACGTTATATACACAAAATGAAGTGGTCTGGGAAGAATCATATGTTTAAAGCATTTTAAAATGGATGTAAAGGAATATCTTCAGACTATTTCAAAATGTAAAAATATGAAAGCGGTGGGGACGTTATCTTTGTTTAAACTTTTTTTCATAATTTGAATTTATTTTGTAATCTATACCCCCTGACGATGTTTTTTTTGTCTTGAAATGTTATATGCACTCTTGCTTGTATTTGTATTTTTGTTATAGTTTATGCATAAATAAATAAAAATTATTTTAAAAAAACTTATAAACGTCCTGTATTACAAGACCATTGTACTGTTTTATGCAAAGTAAATTCGGAAACGTTAAAAAACCTGGAAATTGTTTTTTAAGGGGTACTATGTACTAAGTTGAACAACATTTGAAACTTTTGTTTCATTCATTGCAGACCCAGGAAATATTTGAAAATGTTTATTTTCACCTAAAATAATTGAACATATATACATTATATGTTTAAAAAACGTCATGCTTCAAGTGCAGACAAAAGCTAACAGTAAATTGTTTTCTTTGGTCAGTTAACTACGACACTGGGGTAAAAACGCAATCAGATTTACCCCTTCTAAACATTTCATAGATTGTAAATGACGCGCTTTTCAATTGTCTTAGCAGTCAAACCGAAACCGACGAGTTTGCACAACATCCACAGCAATCGGAATAAGTACCATTCAATACACATACGAAACACTTTTATACATATCTACATGCCTATAGACAACGATGTCTGTTAAAGGTGGATTCTGTTGTCAAACATTATACTTATTATAAGAGCTCTGCTCTAACTCGTTTGTGGTTATTATAATGCTAAGAGAATTTATGAAGACGTAAAAATGATTCAGAGATTAGAAGGTTGCCTTCTATTTAATTTAAACAAAATGTCTTTCTGTAATCCTATCTGTTCGAAACTTTCAAGAACTTCGACCATCTCCAGTACATGAAGATTGTCATCTAGCTTTGTCACTGGTTACCTAGAAAATGATATGATTGGCTGCTCAGATCCTTGTCTGACCAATTAGAATTGAATAGACGCCTCCTCTTTTTGACCAATAGAAACAGCTCTTTAGTATATAGATAGATAATACTTTATTTATCCCATAGAGAAACGGAGATGAACAACTGATCAATAGGAAACACAGGTACTCCCATCCCCCCACCACAGCTGAGCTTTGTCCAATAGAAACTCCTCACCTCTTCAGCTAATTAGCAGATCTGGCAAAAATAAACTGGCATAACCTCATATTAAGCCACTCAGGACTGATTCAGAGCCTCAAAATCTAGGCTGTTATTGCAAGTGGTGCGTAGGGTGGGAGAGACCTGTAGGTGGTTCACTTCCATTTTACCCTTCACTGTAAGAGGTTCAATCATTTTAATGAGATGCTTGAGAGGTCCAAAAAGATTAAAGTGTAGGGGTGTTAACGCTGGAGTCCTGGCTAAATTCCAGCCCAGACTTACTGTACACACTGGGCTTATTTCACAGTCATTTAATTTCTCACTTCTGTACCTGGTAGAGGGTCTGTTGGTGCTAAGTGCTTGGTATGTCTCACTTTGTACTGCTGCATTTCCATGGCAGATGAAGTCAATTCCACCCATATTGTAATGTACTTCAGCTTGAAAAGTGCTTACACACAAGGACTTTGTCTATTTCCTTGTTGCCTTCTAGTTTAAACAAAACCAGTTCCATACTTTCAGGAACTTTAAACATACTCCTCCATATACAACTAGATGAAGAAAAGTGGTATCTACATTAAGGGACTTGGTCTTGTTCTCCATTTTGTTGTGCAGTAGTGAAATGACTAGCAGGCCAACCTTCCAGCCATGAAGATGAGACCATTAGGTCCTGACATGGTAAGCTACAGCTCTGCCCTCTAACCCCGTCTCTATAAAATGTCTATATATGCGCAACACTAGTGCAGGCTTTGTGAAACCCCTGCATTACATGTCAACCCCCCCCCTCCACAGAGCTGTATGTGAAGTACTCATGCAAAATAAGTAAGGAAGAACAGTAGTTCTACCATGTTCCAGATACCAATTATACCTAATGTGTTACATAAACAGATGTACTCCATCTTCTGCTGTTGCATAGGTTAAATAACCTTAGCCTTGTATTACAAATGTGACAACTGGAGAGCTGTAGCTTCTTGGTTAGTGAAAGGTGTGATCTGTTCCCATTAAGACAGGGGCAGTAAGTGTCCCCCACCCTCCCCTCATTATACATGTTAAGATACAGTTTATTTGCAGTCAGCATTGTTGCTGGAAAAAAAAAAGCTACCCTTGAAGGCAGATACTGTCCCCCTACAAGTCTTCAGGAGGATAAAATATTGGGGGATTAACCCAAGGCACGTCACCTCAGAGTTAATGGGCAATAATAAAGACTTCCCAGTGACACCTTAGCTTTATTGCATTGACATGATACAATTCTCAAGATCAGGGCCAAGGACATGACAGAAGGTCAGAGAATCAACATACAAACCAGATCTTTGTTCCACATTACAGACGCAGTGTTGAGGGTGTCCCATTCCTCTGGAAGAGCTTCACTTTCCCCATCTCCATTCTCACATGATCCACAGAGCTCTATTCCCAGTAGGAGGGAAGGAAAGGTTACATGACCAAGTCCTGACACTTTATTAGACAGCATGTCATGTTAACCAAATAACCATTCAATACCAACAACATTCCTACTTGGACCACTCACACTTTGGAATCCCAAGCTTGGAGAATGAGCTCCTCAACCTTACCCAGATCATGAAACACCATGGGAAGACTTCCACACCATCCCATAGACTTGTCCAGTGGAGACCCTGCCAAGAGGAAGCTCACTTTAGTACAAAAGGGAAGGGGTGTTAGACTGAGGCTTTTATTCAGTGTACTTTCAATTTTAAAGCTAAGCACAGCAGCACCCTGCCTGGGATTTCTGCGTCAGGTCTCTGCTGAACAATAAACTAGGTTCCCACTTCCCAAAGAGCAGAGCGCTCCCTGCTGTATAACTTTAAGAGCCTACAAACCTAGTCCCCTGGAATGGGGTTCTTGTGGAAACTTACTTTGCCAAGACATACAGTTTAAGTGGCCATTTAAGATGGATCAATTCAAGGTATTGTATGCCTCCATTTTGCAGGCAGGTCAATAGTTATGCATTTAAAACCTTCTGCACCAACTCTGGAGGCAATGAGCAGCTAGTTAACACTTCTAAAGCTCATTTTCACATGTAGTACTATGAACATCTACCAACTAGGAATTCCGCAAGTGTAATTTACTCCCAGTATAGCTTACCCATGAGCTGGTACACATCAGCATATTTAGCCATCCCTACATGACAGCATAACTTACCACAACTCCAAACCCCAGCACAACTTGTTAAGTCTCACAGATCAGCCTGCTTCAGGAACAGTGTTTTGGCTGAATTCTCCTAGTCATGGATATCTTATTCTTCTTACCAAAGAAACTCTAAAGCCACAAGCATATTAGTATAGCATACAAAAAAAAAAAAAGTACCTTCATGTTCTTCTACAACTCAAAACACAAACTAAATGCTGTTCTCCCAGGCTTCACTTTTATGAGCCTCTTCAGTAAGTAAAGGGGCGTGGCTAATTCCATAGGAACCAATCGCAACAGCCCTACAATCCTCATGTGGAATGCCTAGGTGTGTCCAGCTCAATAGTGCACACCTGCTTCCAGATCCCTGTCTGCTCAGAAGCCATCTTGGCTCAGAGACACACCACAGCCTGGGCTTGAGCCAAAATGTAAGATTTTTACTGAACCCTTCTATGGACACTACAGCATTGCTTTAATACATTTCCATTGAAGACTATTAGAGGTGTGTTCTTTCTAAACATTTTAGCATAGCCCAATGTACTTAAAAAATGGATTAAGAGAGAAAGATAATGATTTGATTATAGTTCTTTTTATATATGCCTTTATACGTATACACATTTGTGATTTTAACTCTTGAATCACTTCAGCTCCCAATATTATTTCTCTTCCTATGTCGGAACACTGCTATTATTGGAATCTTGTTCTCAGTTGATATATCATAAAGGAGAGCTGTAGAACCATAATAAAAACATGTTTTGCTAGTAGAGTCCTCTGTATTTAAAGAATAATGATGATTGATGAGAGTTTTGTAATTTCAAGTATTCAAGGAGATTGAAGCATCACTTTGAGACAGAATCTGCCTTCCAATATGTTGATTCCCTGTGTTGGTTGATGATTGTGTAGCTGTTTTTTTCCAGTTAAACTTCTTCCTTTCGTTATCACTAAGAATTAGTCTCGTGGTTTGGTAAGTAGGGATTCAAATAAACAATCAGGGTGACATTTTTAAATCATCAGTAGAATCTGAAATAACATTTTATTTGTTTCTGTTTAAAAACTATGGCATCATCATTGTCTTCTCCTGGCCTCCCCTTCTTAGGCACAGCCCAATATTAATTACTACTCTTACTGCTTCTGCCATGTTGAACAATCCAGGGATGGGAAATTGACCACGAATGTCTCATTCTAAAATGGTCACATGTCTCCTCTCAGAAGGGCCACTCAAAGGAGACGTCTTGTTAGTGTAATCCCTGCCAAAGGAGCATTTACAATAAACTAACACATATGCCAAGACATATAACCCTCCTTTGCTCTGAGATTCACTTGATTGTTTCTGGCACATAATCTACGTTGTTACTCAGATCAGCTCAAATCAGCTCAGGTCTGTCTCCCTACAGCCAAAGCTCATTCCTTGTGATCCAGATCCATCTGGATGCTGCACTTACTTGCTCACAGACCTTGGCCACTGACTTTCTCTTTGCTGCTTGTTTGACACCAAGCAGCCCCAGGCCTCTCCAAAATGACTGTCCCACAAAATGCCTACAGCCAGCTTCAGCTGGGACACTCCATGCTCTCCATCCGTTTTGCTGACACTTGAAGATGAGGGACTGATATTTCCCGAGCTTCAGCTCATGTGCTTCTTCTATCCTCTTCCCCCAGTGTACTGTCAATTCAATGAGAGCTCCCTGCTTTGTATCTCTAGACTAAAGAATGATGTCTGGCCTAAGACTGGTGCTGGTTATTTTCTTTAAGATCTACCTTCATTTCCCAGTTGTTTGCTGTTGTGAAGACCCCTTTGTCCTTTGCCACCTTTACCACACCCTGTCCTGACCTGACGAAGGGGTAAAATAAGAGCCCTGAGGAAGCTGTTTTGGCTTTCCATTGGCCACCTCTAGTCCATTTGCCAGCTGTGTGAGTATCTGTTCATGTTGCCACCTAAATCTCCCATCTGACAAACGTGCTTGACAGAAGGAGAGCTCATTCTTTGACTTGCTGGCCTTCTGCACAGTGTGAAATTAGGACTCTCTGCCATGTATGGAGGCCTGTTGATGTGGGCAGAACTTCATAAACTGAGCAAACAGAAATCTGATCCCTTGTTCACCCATGTTCCAAATGTCTTTGCCAGGTCAATGATCACTCCCTTATACCCAGTGTATCCAGATGCCCTGCATCTTCATTTGCTCTGCTTTACTTTGCCAGCTATTCTCAACCATCCTATCCTCCCTGTGCACCATGCCCTGTCATTCTTCTGGGTCAGCTCTTTTCCAAATGATGCTAGCATGTTCCCAGCAGCCAGACACTCCTGAAATGCCATACAGTACATTTGAACAGATGTATCAATAGAATTGTTGTTCAACATGAACCTAGTCAACCCACTTACCAAAACGGCAAAAACAAATTTTACCTTCCACATAAAGAAGTGAAATGTTTTTGAATTGCTTGAGATTTGCCGAGTTCTGCTCTTTTGGTATGAAGCACCTGTGATGTTATATGGGGTGCATTTGGCAGGGAGGCAGAGCTCTCAATAGAGAACTATGTGTAACCACAGCTGAAGAGTGTTTGAAATAACTGGAGCCCACTGGATGTCATTTGCTGGATCTTTTCCACTGCTGTGTTCATAGAATGTTTAATACCACCAACCTCTACTAGGCTGTGAAAAAGTCCTTGCTCTTGACTTTTATGTTGAAGCAGTATGACCTAGCTGGAATGTGGTACAGTAGGTCTTTAACTTGGTGACAACTAGCTTGAGAGATACAGTATGGTTCCATAGGAAATGGCTGGATCTAACCATAGGACTGCTAGGACTCCTTGATTTTGCTTTGCACTTCCTCTGATCATCGAAATGATGTTAGCATGTTCTAGGCAGCCAGACTAAGATTCTAGATATTGCAGGATTAAACTCCACCCTCTTGAACAGATGTATCAATAGAATTGTTTAACAAGAACCTAGTCAACCTACTTTGCAGATTGCAAAACAAATCCTACCTTATTTATTAAGGTGTGAAATATTTCTGAATTGCTTGAGATTTGCTGAGTTCTGCTCTTTTGGTATGAAGCACCTGTGGTGTCATACAGGCTGTTTAGCAGAGAGGCAGAGCGGCAGAGCTCTCAATAGAGGACTATGTGTGACCACAGCTGAAGAGTGTTTGAAATCTCAGGAGATTCAGCTGGAGGTGGGATTTTGAAAACTTCCCTGCCAGCGTTGAAGCCAGGATGTCAGTCCTGAGTTAGTGGCAGACCAGAGGAGACATGAGAACAGGTCTCCTGTTAACATGCAGGCTGAGGCACAGCAGTGAGAGTCACCAGGCCGAAGCTGTGTCTAATAATAACAGCTGGAAAGAACAGGTCTGTCAGATGTGAGAGCAGAGTGGCAGCTGCAGTGTAAGAAACCCAGATAAGGTGCCGGCAGCTGCATGTACACAGTCTAGGACACGAGAGTGAGGCACTGAGAGGTTGTGTGTGTGTCGAGTCTCAGCCTGAGAGGGAGATGCAGGAGACTTGGTGTAAGGAGTGAGTTGAGTCCGAGTGTGAGAGTGAGGCACAGCCCAGTGGTGCCAGGAGATGATGTCAGGGCCTAAAGTGGACCTGGAAGTCCAAGAGCTTGGCTGGTCATGAGAGGACCAGTGGCTACAGTGAGGGAGCAGGAGGCTCCAGATCAGGGAGGGAGCAGGGAGGCTCCTGGAGAGATCAAGTAGTGACATTGAGACGCAAGGAAGGTCTGGAGGAGTAGCAGCCTGTGGTTATTGCTGTGTCGACCCGCCGGTAAGGCAAAGGAGGTGATAGTCTGGTCAAATGGGATTTGAGAGCATTCAACTGCTACTCCCTGAAAAGGATGAGCCAGAAGGTGGGAGCTAGAGGTGAAGCTCATGTAACTTGGGAAACCACGAGTGAAGGGCGCGGCGAGGGGAGGCAGCTAAGGCATGATCTCAGAGGGTCTGGCGCTGATCCTGCTCTTGACCTTTACAGGAAATGATTCATCTCCTGCCAGGTAGGTTCCGACTCTTCAAAAGCACTGGTGGGTCTGTCTGGTTTATCGAGTGTTAAGCCATCGCCTCCAGCTCCTCCTCATGTCTGGGGTCACTGTGGGTTCGAACAAATATTCTTCCACCTCCTCTTTTGTAAACTCCAGCTTTCCTGGTCTTTTATCCATGTACAGTGCACTACTGTTCAAAATTATGCCAAAGAGTTAAGAAGTTACTGCAATTAACCAATTACATAAATTACATTGCAGTTATAAAGTGTGAACTGATTTTGACACGAACCAAGGGAACCATGAAAGGATGGCATAGGGAAGTGTATTTGAAAGTTTTATACACAAAGAGTTGTGGGAGAATGGCACAGGCAATCCAGCTATTTTGTTTAAACCAATTGTCATCATTGCTGTCATCTTTTGAGCAATGGCATCATAAAATTATCTAATCAAAGAGATATCAGTAACCCACAGGGCCACATGTATAGAATACTGCCCTCTCATTTGAACCGAATAATGTTCTTGAAACGTCTTAAATCAACACATTAGCTGCATGACTAATAAGGGGAACAAAGGTAGTAAACGGAGTGTATGATAAATGTTTACAGATTAAACATATTACGTATTGGTGCAGCGTTAAGATGGATCAGGTTCTACAACAGTAAATGTCCTGCAAAGAACTTTAGACCCCACAGCTCGCCTGCATATTTCTAAATTCTATAATTCTGTAATTCACACTCTTGTGAGTATTAAATACTAATGAGGATTAAATGTACTAACTGCGATTACACAGATGGCCATGGAAAAACAGATTTTGAAACTTGTAACACATGTACTGTAGACTTCTGAAAACATGCTCGATTTCTTTAACACGTTTTCAGGTGGAGCCAAGACTATGCCGTCAGTCTGTAGCCACGCCCACTCGAATGACATCTCTCGCAGGCCACGCCCCGCGCACCTGTGCGCCAGGTTCTGCTGGAGAGAGCGGAGCTGAGTGAGTTTGTTCCGCGTCTTTTGTGATTCTTTTTTATTTGTTTTTATTTGAACGTAGATTAAATTTAAATAATGTAATTATGTAGTGTAAACCTCGCAGGGGGAAAGGGGTAAAACACGCATTTTCGTTGGGAGCTAGATAACATTTTTATTGTAAGTCTTTGTTCACAAAATCAAGCGTGTGCATCCATCCAAAAAAAAAAGTTTTTTCATTATTTTCCAGAGCATTTTGTGTTTTTGCTCTTATATTCGTGGTAAAAATTTCGCTTGCAACGAATACTTATTGGTTTCAATGGTCTTAAATTCTAAATTCTGCTTTTTTTGTGTTTTCCGATTAGCTTTGAGAAACTTTGGTTTCAATTATTTTTAAATTATGGTCTAAATACTTGTGTTCTTGTTTTTCCAGTTTGGTGTCTGCGGGCAGGACATGCTTGGCTCAGCTTCTGGAATTACCGATGTAAGTTTAAACCTTTTTATTCGTTCACACGTATCATAAGCGCGCCTTGTGAAAAGACTCAAACTGGCGACCCTAGATTTCTCCAGGTCAGAAGTGGTTTTAACGACAACACTGTAGGCCTGATGTTCATAGAAATCTTTTTCAACTAAAGCGCATAATATAGATAAATAAGAAACCGCTTTGGCTCCCAAATTGCAACACTACAATTAAAACAATGAGTCTAGAAATATTTAGGCTCATTATTCATGTTTTAGCTAAGTTGTTACAGAGAAATAATGTGCTCTTTAAATGGAAATCGGAAAAAAAAACATTATAATGTGGGGGTTTCTATTTAATCGATTCACTGTAGCTGTATTGATTGTTGTGCCATTGGTATTCAAACTTTAAATGTAAGCCTGAGTACTTCAATACCTGTTACACCAGGCTAAGCGCTTTATTCCAGCTGTAAATCTTTTTAAACCGTTTCATCTTCTGAACATGCCGGTCCATACAGAAGATCAATCTATCTGGGATCATTCCGAGATCCTGTTTGTAAGAGAAAGCACAGCTAATACTGGTTTCTGTTGTTTTGCAGGAAATGCAACGAAGTTCCAGTCTTCATTCCGGTCGCTGCCTCGGAGAAACAGTAACGTGCTGTATGTTTCTGTGTTTTTCCTTGTAGTTGCATTCAAATGTTTTTGTACTTTTTGTACTTTGTAGACTTGTAAAAGCGTTAACCATTAATGTAGCCGTGCTTTGACACTTTGTAATTGAAATGCATGTTCATTTTCACTTCGAAGCCTGTGCA